AAAAAATTATGGCCTCTCGGTACAAACTGCATACCATATGGTATCTTCTTCGTTTGTTAATTCATTTTTGAAAACATTTGCACAAAAGGGACGACTTCATCATGATCTATTGGATCTACAAATTTCTGGGTGAACAAATTACAGGACCAAAAAATACCACACAATACCATACAATACCACCGTGGTAAGGGGGTGGTATTTTGTGATACACAATGTTAAAAGTCGTAAATGACAGTTAATATACTTCTACTATCATGTATTCAACCATCCTACAGTATTGGTTTATTCATACCACCACGGTACGCTTTTCAAACCATAGGTATGCTCTTATTTCAATACCAATCAATACCATATGGTATAGACTGGTAAAAAATGGCCCAATTTTTTTTGTTCGAAAAATATATCAAAGTGGATATAATTTTGAAGAGCACAATTAATTTGATCTAACTGTGTAAAAAAATTAAATTTCGACTTAAAACGAGTAAAAATGGGAAGAGATCACGTCAGTAACTTTATGGTGAGTAACCATGAGTAACCCGTCCACATCAGCATGACATCAGCATCCCTCTCTCTCCTGGAAAGCCTTTAATTTTTCCCTCTTTAATATTTGACGGACGATTTCTCACTCGTTTTAAGTCGAAATTTAATTTATTTTTGCACAGTTAGATCAGATTAATTGTGCTCTTCAAAACGATATCCACTTTGATATATTTTTAGAACAAAAAAAAATTGAGGCATTTTTTACCAGTCTATACCATATGGTATTGACTAGTATTGAAATAAGAGCATACCTATGGTATGAAAAGCGTACCATGGTGGTATGAACAAACCAAGACTACAGGATGGTTGAATACATGATAGTAGAAGTATATTAACTGTCATTTACGACTTTTAACATTGTGTACCACAAGATACCACCCCGTACCAGGGTGATATTGTGTGGTATTTTTTGGTCATGTAATTTATTCACCCTGAAATTTGTAGATCCAATAGATCATGATGAACTCGTTCCTTATGTGCAAACGTTTTCAAAAAAGAATTAAAAATGAAGAAGATACCATATGGTATGCAGTTGGTACCGAGAGGCAAGAACTTTTTTTCTCAAAAAATATTGAAAATAGATCTCATTTTGTAGAACACAATGAACTCGTTCCATCTGTGCAAAAAAAAATCTGAGTTAAAACGAAGAAGATATGAGCCGATTAAGAAAGTTAGGGAAAATAAAAATGACATTTAATTCTCCATCCTTAGATCTGAACTTTCTAAATGAAGGGTCCAGATTTAGTTATTGATGGGTGCATAACCCATGATTATGCACCCTATTTTGAGCCGTTAAAAACTCAGCGAACCAGCCATACCAATTAATCAATATAGAAACTATATTGTTTTGCTTAATATAATGTGTCTATCACATGGTATGCCCTCATCCAAAATTAATGGATTACCTGGTCCATATTTATATAGTTGGCTCATGTATAAATTTGTGAGACTCAAGTGCAAAAAGTTATAAATTCATAATAAAAATCAACTAAACAAATAATAAAAATTTTCAAATGCATAATACAACAAATCCACCACAAATAAAAAAAGATTTTCAAAACTCAACCACATTTTCAAGTGAAACAAGCAAACAATGTGAGAAGGCCCAACCCAAAAACAGGGTAGTTTGGTAAAGATAGCATCTGTGTATTGCAAAAACCAGAAAACCTAATTCCACCAAACAAACAAAAAGAAAGGTAAAATGGGGGTGAAATATTGTATCCAAGTCCAACGTCTCTTCCCCCAAACAAGGATATAACATAATCCATATTTACCCAAATTTCTCCACTTTTAGACATGTATATTTAATTAAATATATCCCTCAAAACGTTCCAAGAGAAGCAACAATGTCAACAACTCAGCAAACAACAATAATAATCATATTTTCTATCCAAAAAAAATAATAATCATATTCATATTCAAACAATAATAATTAATAATCTGTAATCATGTTAGGGTTTAATTCCCCCGGAAAACTTGCAAAACGATCCCTGAAAAACTAACTGGCTGTCATTTTAATGCCTGACACTCATTTCCTTTTTAGTTTTTCCATTTCCATAAACTTTGTCGTCTCACTTCTGTTATTCAGTTTCTGTGTCCGTCAAACAAACCCTCCTCAGGCCGCCCAATTTTCCGCCGTTGCTCCTCTGGTTTCCAGCCAATTGGCCAAATTCTTTCAACCCAACAAAAAGGAAAAAAATAGTTTCCAACTTCTTCTTCCTTTTTTTTTATTCCCTCCCCATTTCCAGCTTCCTCGCCCTCTTCCTTCATCACTAATTTTCTTGTTTGTCCGCAGAGAAAACTCTCTCCCCCGCCCCCCACTTCTTTCCCAAAGGGAAATTTCTCGTCTTTTCTTCTGCATTAGCTTCTGGGATTTCTCCATATCCGACTGAGTCCTCTCTTCTCTTTCCCCCTCCACTTGAAAAGGTAGAGTCTTTCTGCTCATTTGAGTGATTTCTCTTCTGGGTTCTGCAGAAATCCTCGATAGTTTGCGAGATGTACCAAAAAAGGGAGCTCCCTTTAGATTTTCAGCACCACATCCCAATTTTGCGGCCCAGCATCCATTCAAGGAGGGCCAACATAACAGTGAAGTTCCAGGACCTTTATGGTTTCACCGTAGAAGGCAATGTCGACGATGCTAATGTGATGAATGAAGTGAGAGAGAAAGTGAGGGAGCAAGGGAGGGTTTGGTGGGAGTTGGAAGCTAGCAAAGGTGCTAATTGGTACTTGCAGCCCCAGATTTTGTCGTTAGGTGATGGGATTGCTTTGAAAACTTCCCTCAAATTGTCTGCCATAACCAATTCAATTGCGCTCAAGAGGCTTATCAGGAAGGGAATCCCTCCTGTGCTGAGGCCCAAGGTTTGGTTCTCGCTATCTGGTGCGGCTAAGAAGAAGTCCACTGTGCCTAACAGCTATTACAATGAATTGCTTGTTGCTGTTGAAGGGAAGACTACTGCTGCAACTAGGCAGATTGATCATGTGAGTCTTTTGATTATCTCTCTATCTGATTGCTTCATTTCCAGCTACGGTTGACATTTTTTAATTTGATTTTGAATAATCCGGAATGTCCGGAGTTTATGGATGGCCGTTTGGGGTGAATTTCTTTTATCGGTATCTCATATGATCCTATGCTTCTTCTTGTAAGATGATCCGTTTAAGACATGATCAATATGGTATTATGGTGGGTTAGTTTTTGTTTTGGATGGGTGTTAATGGTGGATGTGATGCTAGAGATCAGAAGAGAGAGCTACCGGGGACGGATTTTGTCGTTGCTGGTTTATCTTCTCCTATGTCTGGCTTTGGACTACTGGCATTTGGTCAAGCTTTGGAATTATCTATATGCTATGATTAGTTAATGTGGCTCAAGCCTATTGTCTTCATCTTGACGTTGAGATCAATGTGTAGTTAGGAAAGTAGAACTCTCTTTAGCTCATAAATTAGGCTGCTTGCACAGTTCACTTACCGTTTGAATTAATCAGCTTTTTGGAGTAATTGACTCCATCCAAGACTTTGACGATTGGAACTTGCAACTAGAGTGATATGGCCTGAATTCTCATGCATTTTGGGGTGTTTGTGATATGTCGATTGTTGGTTAACAGGACCTGCCGCGCACTTTTCCTGGCCACCCATGGCTGGACACTCCAGAAGGCCATGCTGCTCTTCGTCGTGTTCTCGTTGGATACTCCTTCCGGGATTCAGATGTTGGTTATTGCCAGGTGAGGTGTCCTTCATTCCTGAAGTAACCAGCATCTTAGTCAAGAACTGAATCTTTGAGTCGCTTCTTAGTTTGTGCTAACTGTCAATGGTCCTTGATGCAGGGTCTAAACTACGTAGCGGCATTGTTGTTGCTCGTGATGAAAACCGAGGAAGATGCATTCTGGATGCTGGCTGTCCTCTTAGAAAACGTCTTGGTTAGTGACTGCTACACAAACAACTTGTCGGGGTGTCATGTTGAACAAAGAGTGTTCAAGGATTTGCTAGCCAAACAATGCCCAAGGTACTTACCTTCAATGCAAGCACTTAATGTTTCTTCGTAACCCTCGTGGTGCAATTGACACTAAGAAAAATAATGGGAAATGTGCAGGATAGCTGCTCACTTGGACTCATTGGAGTTTGACGTCTCACTCGTGGCTACCGAATGGTTCTTATGCCTCTTCTCCAAGAGCTTACCATCAGAGGTTCGGAACTTTTTAACAAATATTAATCGATTCTCGTGTCCCTTACTGGTTTTTAGGTTTCTCTAATAATCTCTGCTGTTCCACCTAAAAAAAAAAAAAAAACTCTGCTGTCCTTTACTTTTATGCCAGACAACATTGCGAGTATGGGATGTGCTTTTCTATGAGGGAGCTAAAGTTTTGTTCCATGTAGCATTGGCCATGTTCAAGGTGCTTTTCACTCTCCTTTCCTGTCAGGTTTCTGTTTCGAACATCAATGGTTGTTAACACGAAAAGAAAAATCGTGTCTTGTGATTGCAGATGAAGGAAGAGGAGTTGCTCCTGACACACCATGTTGGCGATGTGATCAACATATTGCAGAGGACTACCCACCATCTCTTTGATCCAGATGAGCTACTCACAGTAAGTCACAGTTCCTTGACCATCAAGCGAGCAAGCTCCATGGCCTATTCATTTTCTGATCATTGAAATGCTCTTCGGCAGGTTGCGTTCGACAAGGTGGGTTCCATGACGACAAACACCATATCGAAACAACGGAAGAAGCAAGAACCAGCAGTGATGGCAGAGCTTGACGAGAGACTGAGGAGACTAAACACACTAAAAATGGGTGACAAATAGCACGACGCCCCTTGCACTGTTGTAATATCTTGAGTGTGTACCTTTTAACTGTTTTGCATATATACATAGATATGAAGAGAGGAAGTGAAAGTCCTGGAAACGGACAGTTGATTGTCTGTGAAGAAAGTCTCAAACTTGTGCCCTTCACTACTCTCTCTCTCTCTCTCTCTAAAAGGGAAGGAGGCCCATGGAAAAGGGATGAAAGAGAGTTTCCGACTGTTGGTTTGGTTCATTTACCAGGATGGAAGTGGAGTGATGAAAGTTGTAAATTGGTGGTGGAGATTGTGAGAAATGGAGTTGAAAGAATCTTGGTTGCCTGGTTGGTGGTGTTAAAATTAGCTTTATTTACTCTGCCTAATTCTCAATCCACTTTTATTCTTTTTATTATGCTGACAACAATGGTAGCTCTTATACCCTCTGACAGAGCATAGATTTCTCAGTTACATTTTCCTTGTATGTTTCAACTATATCTTGTTTGGTTACCTATGCTATGACCAACCAGAAGAGAAAATGAACAGAAGTTAATTAGATTCATTTGTGCTTGAGTTCGGACAGGCAACGGATAACATGTGATGCATCAGTAAGCTCTTTTCTAATATGACATTTTTGCAGCTTGACATTAACACTTTGCACGGTCCTTAAAGAGAGTTGATTGACATTTTTGTTAGTTTTACGCATCATATGTTTGCTCATGAAGAGTTCATCTCGATAGGCTTATATTCACTTGAGAAAAGTTCAGCTCCTTCCAGCCCTGAAGGTAAAAACACCCGGTGGTGGTGGCTGTGGCATCGGCGGCCGCGGCAGCGTCGGCGGGGGAGGCAGAACCATCTGTAGCTCCGGCGGCGCAATGGAGAATGTCGGAGGATGTTGATAAAGCGGCTGTGGCCAATTCCCCATCGGAGGGCGGGGGTAGAAGGTGAAATTAGCGGAACTGTAAATCATCGGCGGTGGTGGCGGAAGCGGTGGAGGAGGAGGAAGATTAACATAAACCTGATCCATGGGATAATCCCCGGGTTGTGTCGGAGACCAAATTATGCCCATATCTGTGTCCTCATCCGCCGGTGGGGCTGCAGCCTCATCATCGGCGGAACACTCTCCGGTCTCTTCCGACGATGATTTACCGCTGTTTCCTTCAGGAATGCCATCGCCGGCGGTGGCAGGGGCGGCATCAAGAGTATCAGAACCGAGGTGTGGCGGTAGATGTTGAAGCCAACCACTGCCCTGGTTTTGGTTGACTTGGTCTTCCGAGGCAATATCCTTGATGTGGTTAGATCGCCGGGCGATTTTTAAGTGTTCGGATGTGAAGTCGGAGCGACTCCAGAGAGATAAAGGAGGTGCACTCTTGTTCCAATCTTCCAGCTGCTTGTTGTTTATGTCCACTGAACCAGGGAGATAGAATGCCTTGCAGAAGAAGGAAGAGAAAGGTAATAAGGAGAAATGCAAAAGGGAAGCAAAATGGACAAGTACAACTCAGTTAGCATGAATGAATGAATGATGGGTTGGATGCTCAATTGTCAAACACATATAATATTTGCAAGCCAACGATGTTAACACTGGAAGCGTAAAATCGAGTTTCTACGTAGAAACGTTTTGGTGATCTAGAAGCGTAAAATCGTAAGTTTTTAAGTTTTAAAGCGGAGTTTTTAACTATGTAAGCTATAAAAATAAAGATTTTGTGTGAAAGCGTTTTAGTGACCTAGAAACGTAAAATCGTAAGTTTTTAAATTTTAAAACGCGATTTTAACTACATTTATTAACAGACACCAACGTCTAGAGCTATCAACATCTTACCAAAATAGATAAGAGGGAAAAGCTGATGGGGAAACTAACCTTGCCAGATAGTAGTCTAGCATCTTCCCAGATTAAATCGTAAGGACCCACAGCATCAACTCTGGAAAAAGGCAACAATATATATATAAGAGATGATAGTGTTACTCAAATGGAAGAAATGATAAGGATCAAGTAAGTTTGACCTTTTTGTCTCCTTTGGAACGATGAGAATGAGAAGCTTTGGTTTGAATTTGAGAGCTTGTCTAATGAAAGCATTGGCTAGAGCTGCTTTGAATCCAAAGGGTGGGTTTAGTCCCATGATCTGAATATGAGAGGGAGCTAATCAATTTCTGACGGTTTAGCGAGAGCTTAATTACCGTGTCAATTTTCATTATCCGAAACGTGCAAATATAGACATACATACCAAACTTGAACCATCTGGTAATTCACTTGGTTTGACATGCATCCAATTCCTCTTCTCAAAGCAGAAGTCATTCTACCGAACAAAAGAATTTTAGCTCCATCTCCCAAAATGGCCAAGTGTTGCCATTTTTTTATTTTGCAAATCAAAGATAGAGCATGGTAATTAAAAATGTTCACACAAGAGTGTAGTGTAGTGTAGTACCTTAGTCTGTATGAGGTCAAAGTTTTTGAAAAGACACGACTTTCTAGTCTCTTCCAGCTTTTTTTTCATCAACAGACTGAAATCGTTGGATCCGCAGCAGAAGTCCACGATCTGTTTCGAACATTAAGAGAAGAGAATCACGGGAAGTGGATCATCCCACCTACATTAGTGGCTGACATGATTGGGAGAAACATGACAGACAAAGGTTGGAGAATGAAGATGGTTCTCACCATGTCGCCATTACGCACATAGAAATGGAGCCGGTTAACTATCTCCTGAAGCTTTTCTAGCTTGGTAAAGTGGCGGCCAAAAGTAGTGTATCGCATTCCATGTAAGAAAGGTTGAAGATAGCCAGTCAACCTTGGCTACATGACCATAATAGATTGAAAGAGTCATATAATCAGCTTCCCGACTCAAAAAATACCAAGAACAACAAACTACAAGTTTTTAAAATTCCATAGAGTTTAGTTAGTTACCCGCCATTTGTACAAGGTAGTTAAGGTCTCTCGTGGGCACACCGCCAGTGCATCATCGTTGCTACCACCATTTTCGAGCTTCTCTTTAGCAAGACGCACAGCCTGGACATAGTTCTCTATTCGTCCTAGAGTAATGGACTTGACAAACACACTGGTGCGGCCATGATGCCCAGCTTCGCAAGCCCTCTCCAGGATTTCCTTCTTCTGTTGCTCGAATTTCTCGGTGATGTCTTCCCTCCACTTCAAAAATCTGTATGAAACGCGAGAAGATGATGTTAAGTGTAGTAGTTAGAGTTATCCTTATGAGAACTGCAACAATGATGTACATTACCGTCGTTTGAAATGAGCTTCATCGATAGATGGGAGGTCGGTCAGGCTTTTTAAGTAAGATTCACTCGGAGGAGGGTCCTTCTGGATGGGAGTTTGTGGTGGTTTAGAAGGGCATTTCGGCGGCAGAGGGAATATACTGGTTTTAGTAGTAGCCCCTGAGGATGACGAGCTGATGAAGGCAGTAGAGCCGAACGTGGCTGCTGGTTTAGTCACTAATGGCACGGTAGAGGCAGAGCCAAATGCCGGTTTCTTGTCTACCGGGGGTATGTCGATGAGCATTTTCATTTTGCCTCCTTCTGTTCTCATTGCCTTGTTTGTGGCGGAACCAAGATGTTGTTGTTGTTGATGTTGTGGTGGCTTCTCCAGACATCTCTTCTCTATCCTGTTCGTGGAGTTGTTGATCTTGAAGACATGATGCGGCTTCATGGATTCTTGCCCTGGTGCGGCAACCTTTGGTTTGGCGTCTGCTACAAGCTCTTGAATTTGTTTTGTTTTCTGTCGGGGAACACGATCGGGGAAAACCAGGTGGTCTCTAGCAGGAGTTGCGAGTCGTATATCGATTATATGATCCCTGGTTAGCGACAATAGTTGTTAATTGGTGGATGAATAAGGAAATCTCATGCTTACGTGAGAGTAAAAATAGCAGGCAGAAAACTTACATGCAGTATATAAGAATCCTACCGTGGTGCAACAGACCTTCCCAAGCTCGTGCTACATTGACTCCGTCGGAGTCGAACTTGATGCCACTGAAGATAGGAATCAAAGATATAGCAAAAATTCTACCTAAGCAGCAAATGTCAGATGTGTAAACCAAAAGAAGGAGGTCTACCTGGGGAGACATTGTCTGTGGTAAGATTTCGGGCAACGTCTACATATGGCAAACTTGGTCTCGTCGAAACTCATATCTTCTACCTTCTTACAGTTATTGCACTTGTGAGCCGGGCATATGAATGATTCTCCGACTGAGATTCTCCAACGAAGGTCTGCCGCTGTGATTTTATCGCGCGGGTAAAGCAAGCTTGAAACGCAGTCCGCATGGTAGAAGTGGCCACAGGAAGCTGTAGCACATTGGTAGACCTGTAAAGCACAGAGGGGAAGAGTTACTATATCAAGGACATTGAAACATCGGAAAACATAGCTTCGAATGTGGCTTCAGGACATGATATACAAGAAGTTAATTGAAAGAGGTTGGGTCTAAACTGGGCACCACCATACCTCTTGATTAGGAGATTTAGCAGAAGAACCCAATCTGCCACAGCCAAAACACTGATGCTGCTGATATTGGCAATTCTTGCACATGAAGTCTTGTATTGCCTGTATAAGGAACAAATATTTTCCATAATAATAGTTCTCACTTCTCGGAGTATCATAACTAAGGAAAGGCTGGCCGATTTTCAGCTTACTGCAACATCTTCCTTCTTACTAAAGCCAAGAGATACACATTCAGTGCGCTCTCCATCCGTCGGAGTAGGATGAAATGATCTCATACACACCCCATTGCAACTGCATATAAGATTATGAGCGGGTTGTTTAGCTTGTCTGATGATCACGTAAACCTCTGTAATCGTGTTGATCGTGTAACTTAGCTAATGATCTGACAGAAACACATACCACAACAAGTTACCACCATCATCGCAAATCGCACATACAGTGTCAAAGTAGCTTTCGTCTTCCTCCTCTTCCCCATCGTCTTCTTGAACTCCTTCGACAAAGCTGTCATTGTCAGCATCGTCAAATAGCTCGTCGTCGGCTTGAGATTCCTGTTGCACCTCCTTGAAACAAACCCAAAAGTTAATAGAAGCTCCATAAGTAGGAAAACAGGAAACAGAAAGGAAAAAAGTGAGCCGAACTGCAAATTTAGTAAACACTTTCACCACTCACCTTGTTGACATTTGCTGCACTTAGAGGGCTTTTAATGAACAAGAGAGAACACTGTCAAATTGTCAATCACAAGAATCTTTGTTAACAAGCTATTAAGCGTGCTGAAATTTTCACATTCAAACAACAAAATTTGGTGATAAAGGCAATTCAAATAACAAAGATAAGAACCTTAGAGTTTGCCAAGTCCTTGTTCCTCTTTTTTGCTTCCCTGATCAATGGTGCATGATCCAGCAGATGCTTCG